CCTCAGCAAGCATACAGCATGCTTTTTAATAATGAAATTTAGGAATCATATTAGAACATTTCATCTTCCCTCCCCCTCTCTGATGCTCTTATTATCAATTTTATGTCCTAACTATAAACATTTCCTAGCTTTTAATAATTGCAGCAGCTTACTACTACAAAATGATCAGGAAGAACAAGGCAAGTTTAGCTTTCCTTTTATGCCCAACTAATAATAGTGGGTCTAAGGACTCTCTCAAGTATTCCTCTCGTCACTGCAATATTTAGCTTGAAAATCTTTTGGAATGTAACAGTTTGTGTTGTTGTTGCTGCCTTTTTTTTAATTCTTTACTGTATAATGCAAATAGAAATTGTAGTTTAAAGGTGCCAAGTATAAAAGCCATTTCATTTAAACATAGTTTTTAGCCCTGAGTACTGAACACTTGACACACAGCTTGTGCTTCACAGAAGTTTGTTCTGCATGATATGCACTTCAGAAATACTTTGAAAGTACCATACCATAATCACATTTAGGACAATTTCAAATTTTATTTGCAACTATTGCAATTACAAAGAGTATATCATTGTAAATCTGCATTTAAAGTGTCATCCCTTTTTAATAAACAAGGTCACAAATTAGTGCACAGCTACTCTGGCTTTGGACAATTTTCACAGGATGCCTTTAACTCACATGTTTCATGGCACTGCATTTTTATAGTTCAATATATAGTAAAAAAACTACCTCTGCTCCTACTTTAAGACCATTTGTCTTTATTTCCACGCTGTTGAAACGCAGCTTACAAACAACCACCTTTATATATTCTATTGAGAAGGAGAAGAATCTGGCTGTGGCTTTTGTCAACTCATGCAAATATACCAATAGCCATGATCCTCTCTTCCCCAAACTTCACCTTCTTTTCCCTTATTTATTTATTTATTAAAAGGAGTAGTAGAATCACTGTCTGGTTTATGGCCATGCAGGACAGTGAGACTTAAAAAAAAGATGCTGAGATGCACACCATTACAAATGTCAACAGTTTTTGACTGGTTTATTAACGGGAATTCAAAATTGATACAAAACATGCCCTCTTTGCATGTTGTTATTTTACCCTTAAAATGTTTTCTGACAGGGTCAGGTCAAGAATTTATTTCAGTTTTCAGCATGTATCTTTTAGAAAGGTACTACACAAGCCACCAATTTTGTACCACATGGTCTCAAAATTGCTTTCAGACATGTAGTTCATCAAAAAGCTCAGATCTGCTACTGACCTGATGAAATAAAAGCTTAAAAATATTTTAAGCCATTAATAGTATCTTACGGCAGATTCCAGAAAGTTTGTGATTTCCATGACTATCTTGGGCATAAAAAGGCAAGTCCTAAAAAAAGCAGCCCTCCAGAATATATGGAATGTAGCAATGGGCATGATGACAATTTATAATAATCAAGTTAAGTAAAACAGATATTAAAGCTATGAATGATGTGAGCAATATCACAGCAAAATGAGTATCACAGAACAAATCATATTTGAAATTTGATGTTATTTGAGTCAATAGAAATTTGAAATGTCAAATATACCAGTGTGTTTTCTAAAATAAGTTCCTAATGCAGAAAAAAACCCGATTTGCTCCTAGCTAATAGTACCTTTTATTTTAACTGGACCCTAAACTGATCAGACAATACATAGCCCACACTTTCAGACATTTATAATAAAAAAGCTTTTATTTTCAATTGAAACAAATGCATCATCCTGCACTTGACGGCCATGAGCCATAAGCATATTCCAAGGTTGTATCAATGGCAACAGATTTGCTTAACCTCCACTGAGAAGTTACATAATGCACTCATAATTGGTAAAGAAAAATTAAACTCAGCCTTCTCAAAGCTTCTGTACTGTTTCTTGATTATTGTACAGTCCCACAGTCAGACCAAGAGTTTGCAGTGTGTGCAAATAGTGTAGTCAATTAATAGTACTGTTTAATCATCATCTTCCTCTTCTTCCTCTTCCTCCTCAAAACTGTCTTCAAAGCCCTCACTGTCTTCCTGGTCCTCATCACCTTCTATTGCTGTATCCCATTGTGGATGGTTTTCTGGCACTGGTTTTGCTTCATGAACTTCCAGCTTTGATTGGGTAATAAGGAAAAGAAGAAAGAAGGAAAAGAGTCAGAGACAATGAACAGACAAACAAATCACCACACAGAACTGACAGCTAAAGAAGAGGCAGGGAAATCCAGCAGCTTCCAGCAATACAGCATGTGAGATTTTCTCACAACTATGTGTACGTAGGAATAAAGGCAGAGAAACAGAATGGCAGAACTTAAGGTATAAAACCCAGAGCAAACATATTGCAGAAAATGGATAGGAAAAAATAGTATTAAAATTGCAGGCACTGGAAAACATCACATACATGAGCCCCATTTAATTCAGCATAAATTCACATTGAGGCAAAAAAAAAAAACTTGAAGAGTAAACATCAGGAGGTGCTTGCTGCTACTTTAAAATTAAGACAGCACAATTTTTGAAAGATAACAAAGAGGTTTCTTGGATTCGAATAGCCACATTAAGTTGGTTTCACAAAAATATATAGGTATATAATGCACTTAAACATTACCTTCAATGGTTTAATCTGGTCCAAACCCATGTATGAATCCGATCTTAAATAAACTGTGTACTGATAGTTTCCAGGCTTGCCTGGTGCTGGGAATTTCAGCTCTACCTACAAAACAGAATTCACTCTGTAAGACCTTACTATAACACCCTTTCTGGTAACACACTAAAACAAATAATTGACAATACTATAACAGGCAATAAATACTACTACAAGTAATATGTTTTATTTAAAAGCCTAAGTTTCATACAACTGACACTTATCTGAAAATAACTACATAGTAAAACACCTGCAGAAAAGAGATAGACACCTACCTATAGATTCTTCGGTGAAAAGAAGATTCAGTCACATTTTTCTCTGAATTTGACCAAAGTATGCCTAGATTTTAACTATACAATTACACCCTTAGGCTTGCTAAAGCTGAAGAACCCAAACAGTTTAAAGCATTCAGCCTATTAAAAATATTAAATCAACTCTACTGTTGTTTGAAATGATTATAAAATCTATTTTGAAAGAACAAAAGACATTAATTCTCCAGCTTTAAAAAAGCAGAGAACACAGCTAAGGATTACAGTCACAGGAAGGTTCATATAACCCAAAGCTAATGAATTTGTCACACACTTTTTTCCTGTAAAAGCGCTTAATTTGTCATGCATTTGAACAATATTTTTTTTAAGAATGATCTATTCTTATGAATACTGGTTTTCATCTGTTCTTGACATGAGGAAGAGAAATGACTAGCTTCATATTCTGGAAGGAAGGTTGAAAGGTTTCTGAACTTATTTTCTCTATTATCAAGTTTCATAGTTCCATATTACTCAGGTTTTTCACACACTTTTATCAGAGGTGAGTAAAATTTGTTCCCCATCTCAAAAGTGAAAATGAAAAAATTAAAACTGAAATCAATTGAATGTGCTTGCATACTAAAAGACATGCCTGTGCAGTTTTGTAATATCTAAGAAAAACATGAATACTTTACCTCTTCTTTATCTTTTAGTGTACAAACATGATATGGCATACATATTAGCATCTGCTCCTTCCGATCTGCAATATACAGCCACCACCATTCTTGTTTTTCCTTTTATAAAAAAAATACATATATACATTAAAGCTTTATAAATTCACTGGTCCTACAAATGCATATACATGGGAGATTTTTAAGAATTCTTTGTGATGTATGAATGCAGTAAAGTGTACCTATTGCACACTCAAAGGAAACAAGTTATCATAAGAAACTGCTGGTCTCCAAAGGCTACATCCTGGATTTTCAGACTTGGTTACTACCTGACATATGAAGCCATTCTGGAGAACTGTGTCTACTGGGGATTAAGGAGCAACTTTGTGCAAGAGCAACAAGCAACACCTACTCCACATAAAAACACATTATGGCCTCAGAAACCCAGCAAAGATAACAAGGTTAATATAAAGCATGTAAAGCATAAAGCAAGGCCTGTCTAGAGATGATTCCAGCCCCCTTCCTAATAAAATTCCTTTTTGGGCATATGGAAAAAAGTAGGAATCTGCTGTAACTCTGAATTTGGGAAAAATCAAGATTTCACTTCCAAAAAGTATGAATTGTAGGCAATATTGGTATCAGTAACGTCAAGGATACTTCTGCTTATTACACACAGTTTTAAAACCACTACAGGTCTCAATGTCAGACTTTGCCACTGAGGCTGGCAAAACAAACAAACAAAGCCACAAAAGAATAAAGTGAAATTAAGTGAGGAGTGACACCCTGCATGAAAGATAGAGGAGCATGGCACAGGAACACTAATATGCCCTGTAATTGGAGTCAGATTTTTAAAACTGGAGTGCAGCTCAGCAGCAAAGACAACCTTTCTTGAGTGGGAAAATGGGGAAAGACTGTAGCTCTTCCAACACCAGCATCCACTGCTTTTCACTTAAGCACTATTCCTTTTTAATCAACTCTTCAGTACATATCTTAAAGAAATGGCAACATTTTTATTAATGAAACCAGGAACTTGTCTAGTGCAAAGAAGTCAGTTTACTACTGCAAATCAAGTTTTCATTCCTTCACCTATGTTTTTTCCTAAAGGAAGTCAGAACAGTTCAGAGTGGCAGGAAGGTAGAAGTAAAACACACGGGGAAAATAATAATAAAAAAAAAGGCGGACAGTCATATTTATGAAATACTATATATTAGTATCTAGCTAATAGCCTAAAGAGTAATTTTATCCTTCTGAGAAAAACACGGAAAAAACTACACACTCCAGAAAATAAAAATGTTATATTGCTGATCTGTTCCAAAACAACTTCTACCTTCCCCTAACAGTCAGGTAACTGATGGGGTTACAATAAACCGAAGCCCTAAAGAGAACAACTTATAAAAATCGTAAGTTAAGCTCTAAACTGGGTAAATTTTTATATGTTTATACTAGCAATAATATGAGGAGATGTTTTTGTGTTGGTGACTGATGACACTTTTTTTGTTTTTTGAAATGCTGTACTGGGAGCACTGGCTGGGTACACTGGCTGCCAGGACACAGGTTTTGCACCTCAAACAGCACCACTACAGCCCTTCCAAATTGTGCAGGTGGAAAGTAAGTGCTTGTAACACATACAATTTGAAAAACACTTCAGAAGTCAGTCAATTTGGAAATCGAAATTCAAATAATGCAGAATATTACAAAGGCTAAATCAACTTCTTCCTCCCTTTTAAAATAACTATTTGTTAAGTTACCGAGAATTACCAACTCAGAACTCACACAGTCAACTTAAAACAGGACTCTAAAACTATCAACCCAATCTCTTTGCAAGTAAAGCTGCTGACCCCAAGTTGCCATAACATTTTTTTTAAAAAAAAAAAAGAAAAAAAAGAAAAAAGAAAAAAAAAGAAAAACACAACTGTGCAGGCATGTCATCTTCCCCCCTCTCTTATTGGGTGGGATTTCAAGTTTATGCCTGTGAGAATCTGGCAAGCTAAGAGGCAAGTGGGCAATGTGCCCTTTAACAGATGGGTGCAGGCTTTGGCATGCCAGAGAATGAGCATGCACATGAAATTGGAATACCAGGGCCAGTTTCTACCTAAAAATGTCAAAACTACAATCTGCGCAGTTTCTTGATCTATGCATGCAGGAGCTGAAGACAGTTATTTAGGATCATGCATAGATTAAAGATACATCATTGGCAGAGTAATCAAGCACCCAGGATGGAGCAGCGCTAGGACTACTTCCTGGGAACCAGCATAGTAGGTTCAGCCAGACTCAAAACATCCCTAAGTTCTAGAAATACAAAAATTCATACAGCTGTAGCACTTCTCTCTAACCCCACATCTCTGAACAGGCAAAGGCCACAATACAGGCGATACCATAAACCAGAGATGACCTCCCTGCTCCCACAGACACTCCCCCCTCCCAAAAGCACCACGAGTTCTGTTCTTCAGATGTTGCAAATCAACTGTATCTGAACATGCTCCAGCAGCAGCTACAGTATTAAAGTACAGCTGCATTTCAGGAAATTAATGATGAGAAGTTTACAACCATAATATACATGTGTATTATCTCATAATAGCTCATGTTCAAATAGTCAGTTCACGGTGGGTTTTGCTTATTTTTTGTTTTGAACTAGTAACACTGCATTTAAGTTTTGTGACAAAATATATTAGCAGCTTAGTAATACACAGCTGAAGTTTAACCTTGGTACAGATTAAGCACAAGCAAAGTCTGTGAAGGATTCCTCAGCACAGTAGGAGACAGACCCTAACAGTTATCACCCCTGTGGCGCTGGGCATCACACATAGTCGCTGTGCAAGTTTATACTGCTGACCTAAAAGAGCTGCCTTTGCTCCGGGGAGGAATTAGGCTTGAACACGTGCTGTGAGCTGAAGGACCTACAGGAGCAGAGCACTGACACACCTGCTGCTGCTACGCTGCTGCACGGCTGGAGGCTGTGCCGAGGGACGGGAGGGCCCCCTAACTGAACCCCAGGGAAATCTGGAAATCTGGCAAAAAAGCAGGTGCCACAAGGCACCTGCTTGGGTAAGGTCTTCTGGAAGATCGTTTCATGTATCTGTTGCCTTGCTCCTGGGATGAAGAAGAAATCACAAAAAACAGTGAAGACATTGGTCAGACCATCCCTAACCTTGCCATTGTATCTTCATCTCTGTACAGGTCCAGAACAGTTTGGCCTCACACACTTTGCTTTCCAAGGATGGTGGGATGGGATAAAAACAGCAGGAACCGTACGAGCACAAGCCTGGGGCCAATGGGGGAAGTTTTGCATGTGCAATTAGGTGTACAGAATAGAGACTTAAAGTCTTGGGGAGCAAAAAGAGGGAATTAAGATGCACAGAATCTTCTCCCTCCCCCCACCTCTCCCCCCACTATCCTATTCCTTGTCTTGATTAGTCCTTTAAAATCAGAAGAGGAAACACAAGCTTTGCATCCCTTCCTGTCAGTGAAGGAAGGATAAGGGAAAAGAGATCCTAGAGTCTTTAAAAAAAAACCTAATCACACAGCAGCAAAGAGAGCCCTCCAAACCTTGGAAGGAAACTGTAGCCAAATACTCCTTCCTCCTGTTTCCCATGTCGTTCCAAAGACTTATCTTATTTGCTCAGAAAAAAATCTATGCTTTGAAAAAAAAACCCAGATTTTTCAAGATCCTAATGCTATAATGGATTTGCAGACACTTACCAATTGTTTAGCAGTTTCTATTACACCAGAAGGCCACTTCAGTGAAAGACATCTCAGCCTCCCTACTGCACTGAGCCAGCACTCACACACATCCCTTTCTCTTTTCCATGATGCTCTATAGCAAAGATTGTTCTATGACTGGCTTAGGAGGAGCCATGTGGAAAAAAAGGCAGCTTTGAAAATGCTTGTAGCCTCACAGGTGCACGTCTGTGCTGCCCTGATGTGAAAGACCAAAAGCCAAGCAGCAGGTGAAAGCAAGTTGCTGATCCAACTGACACCAAAACCCTCCTGTCCCTACTGTTGACATGGGAAGGCTCAGGACAGTCCCTTCTCACAGATGCTTGCAGTTGGATCACGAGCAAGTAATGTTCAACCTTTAAGGCTATGGGAGCCACTGCTATGCTTTCATGTTCCAAAGCACAAAAGGGAAGAGGATTCTAAAAGGATTTAAAGTTCCCTGCATGTAAAAGATTTCACTTTGAATCTGTGTATGTAGTAGGTCACCAGAAGAAAACTTCAGCGTTGCTGTTGTTAAACTGACCCTTAAATTGCACACACTAAAAGTTTCCAAGTTCCTGTGAGCTGGAGAAAAGGCACAATAAGTCAAACGTGTTCTAGGAAAGCTAACTGAAGAAGCTTTATGGGATTTTAGAAATTATTATTTTTAAAACATTATCTGTTTTCCCACACTCAAACAAAACTTTATTAAAATGTATGGTAATAGTATATAAAAATCTATTACTTTTGGAGTATTAATTCTCACATGTCACAACCCTTCTATTACCAACCTCAGGAAAAAAAAGACTGTAAACAGGATGCGTTATCTTTGATTTGGTTTCAAGAAGAGCTCGTTCCTTTCTCTGTATACTTTGCTGTAATTCTTGCCACTCCTGTCAAAGACAAAAATTAGAAGTTACTATGCCCCAACCCTCTCTTACACAAAAGAAAAAAAAAAAAAGTCCATTAAGAAAAATACATAAAACTCCTGCACTAAGCTACTTATTATAAAACAAGAAGGCACAGTATGAAATACTTTTAGAAGCAAAAGTCAAGCAGCAATAAACCAATAGACCATCATGCAGGTATTTAAAAACACACACAGAGCTGCAGGACTTGTGCATTCTTCTTCAAAATTCATTCCTCCAGCACTGCTTATAAAACACTAGCTAGGCTGTAGTAGTCCTCATTACAAACTCAACAGTCATTTTGCCGTTAGCAGCTCATCCCCACCTTGAGTGGTGTTTCCCTGTCTCTTTCAAGTCTTCTGCTGTAAGACCTTTGGTGCAGAAACTACCAACACATTGCCTCACTCTCAGCTACAACAATTTCATCCACAATTTCTAGGGACTAATCTAGTACAGCAGGTAGTAGTTCCTTTTGTATTAAGTACACGTACAAGCTTGTTTAACTACTGCATGCTTACAGTATGCACTCTACAGTGCGCAACAACTACTGTATGTAAAAAATGTAAAGTTCAAAAAATACATTTTAAGGCCAATCTCACAATATCTACAGCAGTTAGCAATCCAAATAGGATGAAAGAAAAACTAAAACCTTTCTCTGAAGTTAAACTACTTTTCTCCTGTAACTTTTAAGGTTTCTGTCTATTCTGCAAAAACCCTTCACTGCTCTCATTAAAGACGACTTGTAATGGCAACGTTCTCACACCAGAATGAGGCCTGAAAACCTCTGGAGAACTGATATTATTCCTTCATCTTAGTGTTGTTCAGCCTGAGGGGATGCTAGAGGATGAAAATGCCTTTTCTCTCAACCCCAGAGGCAACATTACCCTTCAACAAAAAGCAAGGCTTACAGCTTCATCATCTTTGTTTTGTTTCTCATCTTGTTCTCTGTCGGAGTCTCTGTCGCTTCCATCATCTTTTTCACTTTGTGAGTCCCTGTTTGTTTCTTCTTCTTCAGATTCACTTCCTTTATCAGAAATTTCTTCTTCTTCTTCCTTCACAACTACTTCCTAATGTTGATAAGAAAAAAAACAACTCTAACTTAGTTTGTCTGCATAACTGTAGTGTGCAGCATTCATAGCACCTGAGTGCAGGTCATAGTGCTCGTTTCCTATTTTGATCTACGTACTTTCTGTGCCACAGTGTGTGTCTATGATGGAAATTAATCCTTTTCACCTCACATTCTAAAAGGAGCAGGGGAGCAATTTTACTTCACTATCCGCAACACAAACAGAACAGCAGATGATTCTGGGGTCACATTAGAAACAAGTTAAACAAAAACTAGAGAGGACATAAGAAAGTACCTACAACATGTAAGGGAGAAAAATGCCATTCAGAGGCAACCAGAAGATACTAAAGTTGCTTAATTTAACAAAAGAAAATGTCATCTCATTTTTTTCTCCCTCTAACAGGTACAAAAAAATTCAGCTACTGGAAGACAGCATAACAAGAACTAATAAAAAGAGATGATAAAACCAAACTCCTTAATAAGTCAGGCACAACTTTTAATGGGTCAGTAGAAACACCACTGAGGCTGTGCCATGATTTTTCTGAAAAGTATTCATTAAAAAAGAAACAAAAAAGGTATTTTAGGAGATATGCTTTACAGAAGGTTACTGTTCTCAGTACAAGCATACAATGAAATGCAAGACTGATAAAAAATAGATTCAAAGCAGCAGGCTGAGCATAAAATAATCATTGAATCTATGAGCTACCCCATTAGCTTGTTTTTGCTTCTGCTGTTTTGGTGGCTGCAATGAAGGTGGCAGAGGTTTCTTTTTCAATGGTTTCTTCTTCTTTGATTTTGAAGCTTTCTTGGTTCCTTTATTCTTCTGCTGCCATCCTTTACTCTTAATTTTGTTGACATCTCCTTGCTGTAAGAAAGCAGCGTTTAAAATATTTATTACTTTCATTCCTGACATTCTCACTACATTTTAAACATTTTAAGCTGAGAACCAGAGTTAGAAAGAGCATTCAAGAGAGACTTGGTAGGTGTTTCTGAAAAAAAGATGTCTAAGAAGCATGCAATTAGCAACCGAAAGTTCTCTTCCCAAAGTAGAGGAACATTAATTCTTAACTTACCCCATCTTCTGCTGGTTGCTCTTCTGCTGCACATATAGACTGTTCCTTTTCAAACACTTCCTGATTAGAGAAAAATGTGAAAATTATTTATGTCTTTATGTAATGTCTTTATGTTAAAAAGAATGTCTGTGCATTAAAATGAAAGTTGGTAATAACAAGTTATCCTCTCCCCACAAAACTGCCTGCTTTATAGGACACAGAAATACTGTATCACAAAAACAAGCATTTAGTGAAATGCAAAACCTGTTCCAGCTACAAAACAAAGAACATCAAGCTAGAAATATAAAATATTCAGACAAAACACAATGTTAGTATTTTGTAGGCAAGAATATCTCTGTACAAATGGAAAAAAATGATGTGCTCTACCATCTACATGTATATCATGAAAAAAATAAAAAGAAAAAAAAAGTCATAGAAGCTCTTTATAAAAGAAAGCATCTTAAATGAGTTTTTGATATATTGTCAAACCTTTTAGCTAATATCTAAGTACAGCTCAATTGCTCAGTTTTCAGAACCCTTCGTATTTAAGGTCTAGCACAGTGTGTCATTATGCTTTTAATTGCTCCCTCCAGCAACCAGGGTTCCCATCACGATCATGTTCTCACCTCCTGACATCCCACTGTATGAACACATACAGTTGAACACAAACTACTCTCTGCAGAACTGGCTTCAGTGTGGAGTCTGATCCTCACCAAGAAACTCACCCCCGTGTGCCCTGAGGCATAATTCAGGCTTCCAGTTTACCCAAACAATTATCTGAATGTAATAATTTGTACTGCAGGCTTAGTTAGGAAAAAAGTTCATTTATTTTCTGTGCATTAACTTACTTGTTTAGAAAAAGTCATTACTCCCTTTTACCCTATGCCCAAGTCAGATGTTTAACTACTATATCAGAGCATTACTTTGGTTATGCCATGTCGCCACTCATTCAGCAAACAGGCTACTTGCTTCATATAGCACAGGTGTACTGCCTTTATACCATGCTACATATATTCTACACTCTGCTGGATTTTCTTTTCCAGAAAGTGTTCAAATTAAATGGCTTTGCCTCCTTATGAGCCCACAAGAAATTAAGTTACTTAAAAGCATTATCCTAAGGACTTCAGTGAATAATTTATTCCAGTTCAAAAAATAAATTTCTGAATGTCTCCTCCCCTACTATTCACAAATCACTTGGAAGAACCAGTTGTCATATCCTTACACCATTCTCTACACAATTGCAATGGGTCAGATGGAATTGTGAAGCAACCCCCCAAAAATAAGTGTTTCTCATTCAGAAGCCAGAAATGTAAGAGAGAATTCAAGAGCAGAAATGCTCTATTCAGAAACTTCATTACATTTACAAAACATTAAATTAGCTTCAGAAGGAAAAAAATGCATATTTATTAACATATAGCTGTAGTTACCCCAATTAGTACAAGAATTAGTAATACTTACCGCCATGGTCTGTCTTGTCAGTGTGACCAGAACAGTGACAAGTGAACCTACTGTAATATTGTTGCTGTCTTCATCATCCAAAACTAATGTAAAAAGAAAATCAATACATCTATTAAACTTTATGAGACTTTTTTTCCATTAAATATTGTTTCTGTCCAAATACAAGCATAAAAAATCAAGAATTTTTAAACAGAAAAAATCTCAAAATATTATTTGACAAGTCTCTTAATGTCAAAGATATTTGAGGGTGAGAATTGGCAATCCAGCAAATGATGGTAAAGCAATTTTAATTGCATGAAAGTTACTGAATTCAAAGTTATGACTGATAGGGGAACCATAATTCCATAACACTGTGCATTATATATATTAAAGCATAAAACTTTAGTAACATAAAATACCACATACGACTAGAGGAGCATTTTTATATTTGTTCAGGGAATCGATTTTCCTGACTTTCAGATGATTAACAACTCAGTTTCAATGCCATATTAACAATCACACATTTAATTTTTTTTTAAGTAGAAGAAAAAGGAGAATAAAAGAACAGCAATGATTACTTTATCTAAAACATCAAATATAAAACCCATAGGAAGGCCACTGAGCAGTTTTATCTCCAGTCTGTGAATGGAATAATGTCCCAAATGGAAAGGAAAAGGGTTATATCTAAGTACGAGTATGGAAAACTGTTTCTCAAGAAGCAGTTTTGCTATTTACTAGTTTCACATATATATTTTATATAACAGAAAAGCATATTGTTTAATGCTCCATATTACCTCTCAGTAAAACTTCAAGGCAAATTAAGACTGCAGACAGAAAGGGGCTGCTGCCAAACTATGAGAAGGTTCTCAAAGACTGTATTTGAAGCAGACTAAGTAACAGGACTGCTCTCTATGGTATGCTACAACAAGATTTCTTTTGTTTTTTAAAGCGTAGACACATGTACAAATATTACATTTAACAGACACTTGCTGCTTCTTCACACGTATATAGAGGACTAGACACACACCAATGCATAAGTTAGGCAATCCAAATAGCATATATCAGATGTTGTATTTGACCATTGTCACTACAATAATAGCAAAACACAAAAAATAAATATCAGAACCACCTTTCAAATTGACTACGACTAATCTTTCATAGAAAAGGAGACTGAAGAACGAATTCACTTCCCACTAAAATGAACTGCACAGTAGTATATCATCTCCAGAGATGCAGAGGACTGCATACTCATTGAAACAGTGTAGACCAACTAGCTAAGCACAGCTTAGACAGACTCTACCATATACAAAAACTGTACAAACCATACAGAGATTTCCATGGATATTTAGTCATCGGGGTCTCCAATTCAAAACATCTCAAAATGAACTCTCCATTTTGGAGTAAGCACAAGCATAAATTCTGGAATTACCACATTTTTAATACAGCTAATACAAGTAGTATTTCAACCAGAATTACCAGAAAAGCTATTCTAGAAGAAACAGCTGCTGGACTGGGAATCTGTAAAATATTTTAATGTACTTTATCTTCTGAGATATAAATCTGATGTACGAGAGGCTGCCACTCAGAAAAGTCTGTCATTTCCAGGTCACAAGTAACAGTGAGTTGTGTTTCAGAGTCCTCCAAAAGATTACTGCCAACAGACTATCAAAATGTCAGAAGAATGACATATACAGAGCAAAAGACCTCTCACTCACCCTGTGGTTTTATATCCATAGTGACATATGGAAAACTACCAAGGACAGCCATAACTTCATCATATTTCTTATCTTCTAGGAAATGCAGCAAATTACGACGATCAGAACCTTTCAAACTCACCAAATCTTGAATACTTTTGATTTTGTACTGAAATAAAAAAGAAAAAGGAAGTCACATGATAGCAGAGAACACAGTCCACAAAACAAATTCATATTAATGTATCAACTGTGTTCCCACAACACAAAGACATATAGGCCATCTGATTTATTCTTATTAAAAAACAACACACTTTAAAAAGCTAGCAAGCACATATTTAACAAATAGGAAAACAAAGAAGTTTCATTCAAATCTACCAATGTTGTCACACTAAAAATTAAAAAAAAAATCATTAGAAAACAGTTACTCCAGATCAGAAATCCAAGCCAAGAAATCCTACTGTGTTCTTCATTTACCTAGACAAATTCAGTGCATTGAGATTTCTCAGAATCACAGAATGGTTGAGGTTGGAAGGGACCTCTAGAGATCATCTAGTCCAAGCCCCCTGCTCCAGCGGGGACACCTAGAGCTCGTAGCACAGGGTGCATCCAGGCAGCTTTTGAATATCTCCAAAGAAGGAGACTCCGCAACCTCTCTGGGCAGCCTGTTAATTTACTCCAGACTAAACAGGCCCAGCTCGCTTAGTCTTTCCTCATACGATAGATGCTCCAGCCCCTTAATCATCTTCGTGGCTCTCCGCTGGACTCTCTCTAGAAGCTCCATGTCCCTCTTGTACTGGGGAACCCAGAATTGCATCCAATACTCCAGATGCGGCCTCACCAGAGCAGAGGGGGAGGATCCCCTCCTTGACCTGCTGGCAACACTCCTCCTGATGCAGGCCAGGATCCCATCGGCCTTCTTGGCCACAAGGGCCAAGATGGTTAACTTGTTGTCAACCAGGACTCCCAAACCCCTCTCAGCGGAGCTGCTTTCCAGCAGGTCAACCCATAACCTGTCCTGGTGCCTGGGGTTATTCCTGCCCAGGTGCAGGACCTGCACTTGTCCTTGTTGAACCTCACGAGTTTCCCAACTCTCCAACCTGTCTAGGTCCCTCTGAATAGCAGCACAGCCATCGGGACTTTTGGCCACTCCTCCCAGTTTGGTATTGTCCACAAACTCGCTCAAGGTGCACTCTGTCCCCTCGTCCAAGTCATTGATGAACAAGTTGAACAGTATCAGGCCTAGTATTGATCCCTGTGGACACCACTGGCCACAGGCCTCAAACTAGACTCAGCCCCATTTATCACAACCCTCTGACCTCTGCCATTCATCCAGTTCTCAATCCACCCCACTCTCCACTCATCTAACCCGCACTTCCTGAGCTTCCCCATGAGGATGCTGTGGGAGACAGTGTCAAAAGCCATGTGGAAGTCAAGATAGACAACACCCACGGCTCTCCCTTCATCCACTCAGCCTTCTACGATGGGATGACTGGATATCAGGTTTGTGAAATATGGCTTCCCCTTGGTGAATCCATGATTACTCCCTCCTGATCACTTTCTTTTCCTTCACATGCCTAGAGATGGTTCTAGGATGAGCATTATATATTAGCTCATATTTTACATATGTATGTTTATATGCTCGGATATATCTTTATGTTAGCTTTATAATCTGCTAACATATACATCGCATAAACTAACATATAAAAGGTTGTATACTGATGCAGAAACAAATCTAAAACCATTGCTTCTAGAAGATAATGACTTTTTTTCTCTTCTAATTCAGGCATTCCTAGAAGATGTACTACAGTCAAAGAACCAACCTTCAAGGCTTGCATAAGGCAGTTTTCAGTGCAAGAGTAGTAAAGTAGTATATGCAAGTAGTCAGACTACATAACCTCATGGACTTTTTTGACCTTAAACTCCACAAAAATCACTGCTTACCCAGCTACTTTGCAATGGCTTTTTCCTCCCATCTCCTTTTGCACATACAGAACTACAAAACTTTAAATATTTAACACAGTGATCGATATAACCAATACAATGTCTGCTTTTATGAACTCTTCTGTGCTAATGTTGAAATGTATCTTCTCCCAAACTACTCAGAAAAAAGCCAGATTAATCAGGAGCTAGTTTTTCTTTTTTAATCCAAGATACCTCTCTCACAGCTATGAGATCTTTGATCCTAATACCCACCTCCTAGCAGAGATGGACTTCAAAGAAACAAAAAACACACAGATCTAGGAGGTATTGCACTGAATTCCTGAATAACTCTGTTTTGTTTGTCATTGTTAATTTGTTTTTTTTCCCCCTTTTCTTTTTGCATTATTTGTAGTTCTATACCTTTTTATGATTGGAGACCCGCCTAAGATTGTCCTCTTCAATGTGTGGCAGTTGCAAAAGGGGAGACTTGAACTGCTGCAGTCCTTGGACAGTCATCTGGGAAAGCTTCATGCAATTTTCCAAAGAGCCCAAAGATGGAGCACGGAACTCCCTTTCTTGGGGAGAATGAAACAGAAAACAGCTTTTGTTATTTTTTCCCCTATTAACACTTTTTTACAAGGGATAGTTGTGTTAGACTAGTGTATTCTTAGTCAAATAAACAGAAGAAAGACAGATTGCAAAATGATGAATACGTAAATTGCACAGGTAGGGCTGCAGTAACGGCTGGGCCGAGACTCCCACCCAGCTCAAGACAGGGCATCGCAGCTGAAAGGGCAGGAGCTCCCTCCAACAGTGTCTTGGGAAACAAGGGCACAAGGTATCCATGAGAGTGATTACAGACAACAACATCATGACTTCTGCTAAATTCATTCAAAAAACAGTATTAGCAACGGCTTGTTTTAAAATTGTTTATTACAGTATCATATACAACATGCATTTAGATCTATTTTATAACCCTAACTATTTATCTTTTCTAACACAAGACATTTTTCCTGAGGTTCAAAAGAGTTGTAAGATAACTCTAGAGATAAGCACAAGGTTAGCAGCCCTAGCATGCAAGAAAACTGCATAAATAATATACTTAAGCTTTGGCATTTAAAAAAAAAAATCAGATAGCTGTAAAATATCAAAGGCAAGGAGGTTCTGAAGCAAGAAATGAGCTGGGACTTTGTGTAGGCAGATGTCAAAGGTATACGGTTTGATTTCAGCAATAATAAAAGAGGGGCTCAACATCAAAAGACTATCCTCTTCGCAAAACTTGAGTTCACACAGATTCACAGGTGCAAAAACTAAGGCCTACCTTTAAAAATAAAATTTTTTTTTAAATGAATTGCTGGACTTTAAGTTAAGCAAAGTCTTCTTCCCTTTGTAATCCTCTATCCCATTATTTGAATGCCATCAATTTCTATGTTACCTGAACACAAGTCTTTAAGTTGTATTTTTCTTTCACTGACTTAAGGTATGAAGTGGTATACACTCCATGAAACTTAAGCAATTAAAAGCTGCACAAGCAGAAATTCTTAAGCAGCACAGAGCAAAGGGGAAAAAAAGTCATTGAGAACCTCTCATCATGGCTTGCAAAGAATGGAGAAATCAAAGCATGCATGTTTCTACATAGCACCATTTAACTTAGACTACTACTGTCCATTTTAATTAACTTTTCAAAACTCTGTTTAAAACTTTGACTCTTCAAAATTCACTTCAGAAAGGAACAGCAGCTCAGACTATTACTCTTCCTGTAAGTTTCGTGTCTGTACTGTTCAAGTTATTCTATATACACTTTCTGGCAGAAGATAAAAATGAGTTAAATTCTCTTGAGATGCTAGAAGGATTTAAGCTACTTAAACATTTTTCGGGACTGATAGATTGTACATGAAAGTAGTGAAGGTAATTTTAAACAAGAATTATAGAAAGCGCCTATAATTTATAAAGCCTGACATTTTATCTAAGGGGAAAAAAAAAAAAAAACCTCAGAAACAATGAACTGCCATTACATCCACTGGTATATCTGCCGTGTGTGTGTGTGTGTACATACATATGCATGCACACAAAAGTAAAATTCTCTCTAGATTTTTTTAATATACACGTGTGTGCATGTGTTTATTTGGTATAGATTAACTGGTACAGGCATATCTGAAACTGGGACACTCAGGTATCTCTATAGTCAGACGGAATATGTGCACTGTGGAAGGGCTGTCTGATCAAGCTTACAACAGTATTAAGGCAAATACAGATCTGGATAAAGCAGATTTATCTCCATCTGGATCAGAAGGCAGACAGGCTATAGGCTGCACCTGACCAAAGAGATATCAAATTAAAAAACACTGAACAGCACGAAGCTTGCTTTCAGCCTGTTTTCTGCCTCCCCATGTTTTTATTGTCTGCTACACAGGTTTTGCAGTATTTTTTTTTTTTTGCATTAAAGGCAGTTCTTTTCTTAACCTGGTTTGTAGTGCTATAACCCTTCTCTGACAAACTGGCCTTCATAAGAATTTATCTAGGCCTGTGAAACAAGAGAGCACTTTGCAGGATGAAGGTTATTCTCTTTCTTAAAGCACTGACTCATCCATCTGTTAGTGAAGAATACATACATTAACAAAGCAGGAGAATATGAACTTCATTTCTTGAAAACAACATAGGTCTTTTTATCTGGTGGCAACTTCCCTAAAATACCGTCATAAATAAACCCATTGAATACAGCTGAAGGGAGACATTAGAGTTTTTAATAATACCCATGTGGCTCCCGCCATAAAATTGATATCGTGACTGCACATATTCTGATGGCTCTGCTTGACAGAGTGGGCAAGACCTTTGGCCAAGTTTCATGGGTTTAATTGTGCAACACATCAAGCCACCAAAAGTGTATGGCATTAAAGTACACTATCACAGAAATAAACGCAAGTAGCATCTGCTTGTGAGGGACAGTTACAAATCTGGGTCAAAAAGCAACTTCTGCATTGTACCATAACTGCCTACCTGAATTTTTTTAAAAAGAAGTTTTGCATGGAAAGCTCAGCTGATGCCCAGCTGCTTAGGCAAAGTTACTAGAACATAATCTATGCTCTAAACAAGAAACACATTACTTGCCAGGGCATCACACACTCGAGGAAGATATCAAGATAATTTAAGACCAATGATTATAAACTACTAGTTAATTGTCACAGAATACACATGGTCCAAAGTGTAAGATCAATTCACTGTTTATAATAAAAATAGAAAAGCTTTAATAGTGAATATTACCTTTGAATTGTGATTTTTACAGCAGCTATGACAAAACACCTGCCATTAAAAACAAAACCTACACAGCAGGTTGGATGGTATATGAACTAAAAATGTAAAGATACAAGCTATGCTAAAATCAGAAAGAAGCAATGAGGAAAAGAAAAAGGCAAAAAAAAAAAGAGAGAGAGATGGCGGGACTTCTTTCAGGAAAGAAAGAAAGGTTGAAAAAGTGCACATTTATCTGTGAAGAGACAGATGAATATAAAGATCACTGGCACTGATGAGCCATATACAGAGTGTTTGGTTACTAAAATAGACCAGCTCTTAAAACAAACAAAAAATGTTTTTCAGTAACATTTAAAGAGAATCTTAATTGCAAAATTTACAAGCTGAATGCAGATGCTGAAGATTTCAGAGTGGGGCTTGGCAGCAGCAGCAGTTCATTTGTCAAAATGGAAAGCTCCCTCACTGCAGCAGTAACAGAGCATTTAGTGTTTTCTAAATATTACAGATAAGTTTGCCCACAAGAACCAAACAGTCTTTAGGAAGTGCTACAATGAAGAATGATTTCCTTACTTACCTTCACGGCTACGAGCCATTATTATTAGCTGGCAGATCACGTTAATCATTTCTTGAAGTAGTGCAGGGCTCTTTTTCAGGATAAACTGTTGATCTGCAAGATATAACTTGCTGCAATTACATTGCACTTCCAGCAAAAAAAAGCATAGTTTACACAACTGGCCATTTAACGGTGAAATTTTCATTTCTATTCATTATCATACTACTAAAAACACCATTTATTCTATTTGCATTGGCACATTCATCCATAGCATTCCTTAACAGAACAGGAAGGGCCAGGGTAGGAGAGAAAACAAATCTCAGAAACACCAAACAGCCAAAACAGCAAATGAAGAAATACATGCTGTAACAGTCCAAAAGAAAAAGCAGAAGAGTGGCATATCTCTATGCTGTCTGTCTCTATGTTGACACAGTGGTTTAAGTAAGCACCTGCCTTCATCCAGCAGACTTTAACTCAAAACAAAACATCATCCTTCAACTGAAAAGTAAACCACCAAAAGAGGAGGGGGAAAGATTTGTAGACCATCATCTGATTTGGAAAATTCATCTGTGAAGCTGCAAGTATAAGCAGCAGGGATTGTAAGAAAGAAACGAAGAGGAGGGGCTTTCACTGAACATTCAGGGACCACTCTTTAAAAAAGAGTGGGGGTTTTTTCTGTTTTTTTTTTTTTTTTTTCCCCTCTTTCCCCCACCTCCCCTTATTTACATTAAAACACAGAACCCTGCAAACCAACATTTGCTGGTCAGGCTAAGAAACCATTACTTTTGCAGATGAAAACTAAAACCTACATTCAGAAGCATGTCACTTTTTATACCTATATATAGGTATACACAGTATGCGTTTCAATTTTTCATAGTTGAATTTTTCATATGTAGATCATTTGTAATTCAGATTTTAATCTCATCTCCCTTGCTATACATAGTGGGGCAATAATCCTCAAAAAAAAAAAACACAATGAATAAGGAGATGCTATAGAGAGCAACTGAATGCTCATCTTGGATTTCTCTGAAAAGCGGGTATATTTCACTTTGAAACATTTAGCTTTTCATTCTATTACTAACTAAAGACACATTATGGTTGAAATCACATTTGCAGACAAATGCATTAAAAAGCAGAACATTATTACTGCAAGGCTATAAAGAAAATAAAAAATGCTAACTAATTGCTTTTGAAGAGTCATTCAAATTGAAAAACTAAATGCACTGTGTAAAGATTTTTGAACAGTCATCCATGCAACTGTAACATATAAAAATTACATTTATGAACGCGGCGGCATGCAACTCACTGCTTCATTGCTAATAACATCTGATGAGTAGAGAAGCCATTACCTTCTTCAAGAGTCTCGGGCACTTTCATTCTGGCAAGATGAGTCAACAACAGAACTCTGGCTTTCAGGCTGTAAGGGCAGGTAAGTGGAGGCTCATTCTTCTTTAAATTTATGCCACCAATTTCTCTGATTAGCTAAAATAAAATAGTTAAACACAAATGGCTACTTTGGTGCCACAAATATGGATAAAACACAGATGAACCTATAGATGAACATAATGGCTTTTTTTTTTTTTTTTAACAGACAACTTTTGAAAGTGGGTTAAGTGCCTTATTGCAAAGAAGGGGGGAAAAAGTAAAGATCTGAAATTTGAATATAAGAAACTTGAAACTTACCTTCAGTGAGCATTGAGTAACTTTATATCAAGAAGGAAATAGTTTAGAAATTGCCACAGTTTACTAAATTCAGGCATATTTCTAAGATATTTACATTAAACTCAATATAAACTAGCTACAGCAGCACCTTGAGATGTTCCCATCTAAGACCCAGCCAGCTTCCTTAGAAATAGTTTAATCTGTCACAGAAAGAAGGTGGATAGAAACCTCTAGGAGGCAAAAGGATACTTTTTTTTTTTTTTAAATGAATAGTGTTCTTCACTGAAGATGACCTATGTTTTCTTAAATAAATAAATAAATAAATAAATAAGTATTGGTATTGGGTTTATGATAAAACAGTGAAATAAAAGCAGAGAACAATGACCATGGCTGAAAAAGCAGGATAAACTAACTGGACTGGAGATTTAGAAATGAATCAAAAATCTGATAGTATAAAATGCAGGGCCATGCAGCTGTGTGCTAATAAGAATTGCTGATTGAAGATGGAATCTTCTTAGATGGAAAATAGAGAGGTTTAAGACAGGAGAAATCTGGAAGACTTAGTGATCCTACACCAGCTATCCTAAGCCAAACATTACACTAGACATTCCTGTCTGAAACAGTAAAGGAGTAGTAGTGCCATAGCCCATGTCACTTCTGAGACTTAACGCAGGATACTGTGAACAGCTCCAGCCAATATCAGCTGGGAGCAGGACTCAGAGCATAGCAGGATGAGGGAAATTAAGAGTCTTTCAGGAAAGAGGGGATTAAAAGACAATAGCTTTCCTAATTCAGCAAATTGAAGACAAAAAGAAAACAAACAGGCTATTTCTCCTGTCTATGAATGCCTGAAGGATACACAAGACGACTTAGTTAAACTCAAGAGTAATGATGGCAAAAACACATATATAAATTGGCCACAGACAAGGTTCTTAACCACTAGGACAGTGAGTCCTGGAACAGCTTTTCAATAGGATGTGGTTACAGGAGGCTTGACTGCCTTTTAAACAAAGAATAATTAAATGTAAAAAGGTTGCATAATGCTTGCCACAGCATGGGAGAAGAAATGATGATCAGTGGGATCTTTCCAAGCTGCCAGGCACAAAGCCTAATGAAAATCTCACCTAAAATCTACAAGGAGATGAAGAGTTTGTAAAGACAACAATCAAGTAAGGAGCTATCTTAGGGAATATCCAGAGCATGAGAATATATTCAGGACTTGTAATCCAATTGTAAGCATGCATTTATATGATTACAAAGTTTAAATCTGGAGGACTAATCCCTCCACTTTCCAAACTGAAAATATTTCACAATAAAACTAAGGGAAGCGTTTTGCATGTTGCATTTAAAAGTTCTTAAAACCTAAGTGTCAGTTTTTGATAAATAAGCCTCACTAAAATTATGACAGCAATAATTATTTTGTCATAATTTTAAAAATTTTGTGCATAATTTTATTTCTGTTTGGAAGAGTGAATGGAATTGAAAAGGCCACCACAAGGGAACTGACGCTCATGAAAACCTTTATAACAGTTAAAAAGATTATTAATGCAAACATTAGACAATAGTTTGATTTCAGTATTAATGTACTTAATCAGATCTATATTACTGATTTAATTGATAATTTTTTTAGCTGGAATTGAAAACTAATCAAATAGGAATTACCTTCTTAAACTGATCCTCAAAATTTGGAAGGATCAACATTTTAATTCCACACTGAGTTCACATCTCCCCACCACAAAAAAGGACAATCCAGCACTCTAAATACTAATTGATTCTGTTTAAATTGAGCATTATAACCAGTTAATATAGTTTATCATTTTCTAAGAAAAAAAAACTACCTGCTAAATCATATTTTTAATAAGATATATCTGCATTTGTCACAACAAGTAATGGCTTGAGAACTCGTATCCTGTCAGTTGCCAACAAGGAGCGATTTCTCCCTCTGCCCCTGTAGGGGTCAATTATTTACAAGAGCTCTCTCAAAATAACTAACCTGTGGTATCTGGATGTTGTCTGCTGGTCTGCTTGTAGCATCTTTATTGTACTGAGGATCAAATTCAGATGCTCCTGCCAAAACCATGATAAGCCCTGTAAAGATAATTGGATACACAGAGAAAATGTCAGCAAATTAACTGTGACACTGAGCAATTTCTTCACAAATGTCATAAAACTTATTTCCATTTTTTTCCCCTAACAATCATGATTATTCTTGTTCTCCATTTACAGGATCAGACACTACTGCTACACTGCAGAAGTGGCATAAACCAATTCTTGACAGAAGATTTTTGAGCAAGTGCATTTCTGAGAAAGACAAAGGTATTTTGTGTGCTTGCAGTGCTCAGTAAATTCCACCTACGCAGCTCCCTGAGTGTCAATTTTCATTTCTGTTCTCGGTTATTCATTTACTCTGAATGGGGCACACTGAAAAGTTCCATGAAGTACTTTCCTACTGTTTGCCACGCAACTGTGGATCGTAAGGAAAAGAAGTTTTAAGAGCATGTTTGCTTCGAAAGCTAAGAAAACATCTAGAACAAGTCTCATCATTTCCCTAGGCCAGTTTGGTTACATTCATATTTTATGACTTGTCCAGACAGAAGCCTCAGGTTTTGGCACTGGTACCTCAACACTGTGGAATCAAGAAAGCAGCCCAGTCCTCCCCGGATCAACACGTGAGTTGTCTAAGGCACCTCAATCGTGGCTCACGTTCAGACTGCACAATAGCTCTCATGAACAACCTGACTTGCCTCTGACTCTAGGACTTCCTGAGGATTTTAAGCCTTAAATAAAGCCAACTAAAATTGGGCTTAACTTTTACCAATCTGTAGGAGAGAGAAGTCTCAAATTTAGGATTCTGAGCCAGATTTAAGATGAAATAATCTCTTAATGACTCCAAGTATGAAGCAAGGAGGAAGGTTTTACCATGATCTACCTCAACTTCTCAAAAAGTTCCACCAACTCTCCCTTTTACTCCTTCACAGCTAGATGTTTAGAGGAAAAGGGAAGAGAGAAAAAAAATCCAAGGAAAAAAATAAAACAAACAGGAGAGTATGGCAAGTCTGAGAGCATGAGCTGGATCGGAATTAATCCCATGTGTGGGTGAATCTTTTTGTGCTGTGGTACTAAGGTATTTCTACACTGTTTCTTACACCTCTGAGTACCAGTAAAACATTTCTGTTCAGGAACAAAGGGATGCATCAGAAACACATGCTTCCAAAAATCCTGTGACAAATCTAAGGCAAAACACTGCAACTCAAAGTAGTTGGAGTACCTATTTAAGATAACCTTCTAGAATTTGTTTCATTTGCTTTTTAATTGTTCTGAGCATTAGATCTAGTAAAATCTAAACTACTAGCAGGCTAACCCTCAAGGGCCATCCCAACCTCCCAGCTGAAAGAACAGTTCTGCATTCGATGATACCATAGGCCAAAATAAAGCCAACATAACGCATCTGCAGACTGCACCACACAAAGATTTCTAGTTTGTTTGAGTAGAGAAGAAAAATAAGTATATAGAAATTATGAAGGAGTTACAGGGAGTAACATGAAATTGATAGGGAGCAAGCTTCTTAAAAATAGCTATTACACAACAAGTAGAGAACAGAGAACAGAAAAATGGAATGGCTATCTAACTTTTGCTGATATAAAAATCTTATGTCAGCCCCTAGTAAAATCCCAAAGCCTGTTCTGTTGTGGTAACTACAAAAGAAAACACACAGAGGTTACATCCCCAGTAGACACACAGCAACTTCTGTTAGGTCAGCATCTGTTTTCCCCAACATACTACTTTTTTTTTTAAACAGACATAAATATCCATTAATACTACTCCCCCATACACTCAAGTGGTCGTCTACATACTCTTCACCTACAATGAAATGAAGTTTTTTAAAAACACTCTTTAAGTACCAGAAATAATATTTTAATCTAACAAAGGCTGATAAAGTACTCTAAAATACTTGATTGACATTTAAAGAGGTCTTTTACTTACGTTTCATGTCCATGTTTCGCGTTTTATAGACAAAATATGTATATATTTGAGTTGTGCGAATGAGAATCTGGTCTCCACTATATCGTATTGATCGATACCACCAGGAACCCTGAGACATTTAACAAAAACAAAATTATATCAGACATAACAGGGCATTAGGACAGGTAAGGAGGACAACCTCAAATCTGTTGAAAAGCAGGTAACACAAACTTCATATAATAAAAAATCTAGACTCATCCCAACACATATTACCTGTGTTAAGGTCAAATTAATTTTAGAAAAGAGAAAAATCTTCGTCAACAAGATTTTAAAATACATTCATTTATTTGAAGGAGAGTCTGCTGCTAATTATTTTGAGAATGATTTTTAGCCTAGAGAATCCCCCTCATCCTCCAACACATGCACACAGGTGCTTTTGCTTATTTCTGGTGGTGTTTTTTTAGCGAGAGTCCTTTCTAAGCAGTAATTACTGATTGTGCAGCACAGCACTGAAATTCACTATAAACAGATTGAGACCAGAAGACCAAAGAAAGAGACATTTTTCATTAGAAGAAAACTTGCAAATAAACAAATCACATCATTAGAAAATGCTTTTCACGAGGGGCATTTAGAGGTAGTACCAACACTCTTACTGGATATTTTCAGAATTAAGTTATCCCTCAGGTCAGGCTGAAGGACTCTCATTCAGAAACACTACAGGAATTCCTTAATTAGCACTCTACCAATGACTTCAAATTATATCACTGTAAAGTCACTATACTCCACAATTTCTAAGAAAAAGAGTCTGGTTGGTCATCAAATTAATTTTTTCATTAAACTCTTCCTTGAAAAAAAATCAAGCTCAGTAATAAGACAAAATCATCCAATACACATCTCAATTCACTGTACAACCTATTATAAAGTGTAACAAACAGCCAAGATGATGTTAAATTAACAGTTGGGTATATTCCCCTAGAATAGCAAGAGCTTTGGAATTTACTCAGCTATTTGAAAAATACTGTAGGTTCAACACAAAGAAAGTTGTTGGTTTTGGTTTTTAATAGTTTTGATTTTTCTATGCACAGATGAAAACCACAAGCACAGAGGAATAAACAACTCCTTTAAAAGTTTTTCTGCAGAGGAATTCATATCATAATCCCATAGCTCTTAGATGCTTTTTTTTTTCCCCTCTCCAAACTAAGACTGGGTACTGGAAGAAAAAAGTCATGCAGATCTGGACTGGCTGCAGTTAAAGAGGCTGCTTTATCTGCTGCAGATACAAGCCTTGCCTCACATACAGAATGCTATTGCGGTCAGCGGAGGTCTAGGAAGGTCTGCACATCAATATTTTCCCCTGTCCTACATTTGGATTCAAAGGGTGGAACTAACCTTACCTTATTTTAGATGCCCATTTCAGATATAGCCTGGTAACATTTGTACTTAACTTGGGCTTCTTTATTGATTCACAAAAAAGAAATAGACCCATTAAAGGTATGAATCATATGTCTATTTTAGAATGAAATTGTAAGATAACCTGCTCCATAAAAATGACTATTCCTCTTCACTGACTATAAAGGAAATTTAGAGTGACAAGTTAGAATGCAGAAGTCTACATCTGTTACAGGGGCAAGGAGAGGCACATTTTTTCTCCACTCAAAACATTTCTTCATAACAGAAAGGATGTTTACTTTCACTCCGTCTATGATAAACCTGGTATAAATCACTGAGAGTGGACGTGTACAAAAACATCAACACACATCAACGGAAACTTGAAAAGGAAGGAGGGAGAAGCGGGCACACTCTTTGCCCCAGATTTTAAGCTTCCCAATCAACTGCTGTTGAAATCACCTGCATTTGAAATCTGCTACACTAAATCTTCAATTGCACATGAAGACTCCCAAAAAGAAGGGACCCGCTTGGCTGAGCCTTTGCACAGAGACATAAGTGTCAAAATTTCCTTAAGTGAAAATCTTCTTCCTCAAGAGAATCAAGGCTTATCGGTGACAATTTTCTGAGCCCCTCTGCAAGCCTTAATCAAAATGCATCCTGTCACTGGAGAAGGGACATTGTTCAAAAGCAACACAGTAGAGCAAACCAGAGCCCTGAAATATCATTCACCTGGCAATTGATTCCTCAGGCAAAGGAATCTCAAGAGCAGACATTTCATAGTGCACAAAGATAATAAAAATTAGAGCCACAAGAAGAGGGGCAGCCAGCAGAAATCAAAGCAACAATTTGTTCTGCAAGCAGTAATCATTCTGGTACCACAAGTTAAAGGCATCTCAGTCTTGGGTCTAAAATAACACTACTGAATATCCTGTCAAGTTCATCACATGCAGTTAATATCCATGTGATGAATGAAAGAAGGTGCAAGGCAAATTATATACACAGCCTGAAGCTTTTGTGTTATCTAGTATTTTCTGTACAGCTGTATTTCTATGAAAGCACTTCACTATTTTAGAAACTCTTCAGCAGCTACTTTTTCCACAATAAAACACCCACATTAATATTCTACCCTTTGTAAACAAGCTGTAAACAGAGTTTTCTTAGAGGAGGATTGCTCATTCTTCCTTATCACAGAGAAATAGCTTTTATTTAATGAGCTAATACTTACCACAACAACTGGCAGAATAACCATAAATGCTAATCCATACACAAGCAAAACCTACAGAAGGGAAAAGAAAAAAAAAAAAAAAGAGAGAGAGAGAGAGACATGCTGCATCAGGCACTTTAGTTACTTGATACCATTCTTGTTTAATCTTTATTCTAAAGCACAGTCAAGTAATATTACCACAAATCTACTATAAATTACTGCAAGCTTATTGCATAGTACCTGCTGTTATTTCTGGAGAACAACTTCTCAGTATTAACATCAGGCAGGTAGAGTTCAAATACAAAAAAAATCTGTTTGATGTGAGCATTCTTTTAAGTCTTTCATACATCATTGTGGGTGGGTTGCTTTAATTATCAGAGAGCTGGCAGAAAAAGTGTGATGCAGTGGACAGAGCTAATTACTGCCTTATAAACTAGGCAGGCATTATACTGCAGCAATATAACGCACCAGAAAGAACATTCAGCTGCCCTAGGGTCTCTAACGAGCCCAATGAAAGAACAGAAGTCCAGAAAATAGGAACGGTTGTATCTGAGCTTCCTTGCAGCAGTAAACATGCACTTCACAACATGAGCAACCTACTGCTTATTATCCTCACAGTGAAGAACTTCCAAACACATTAATGCTCTCAATAGCTTACATTGAAACTACAGTATTACTTTTGACTCGAGACTTGCTCAGAGGCACAGACCAAAGTATTACTAGCCAAAAGGCACAGATAATACTACTATGTATTGTGCAGTCAGACAACATTTTAAGGTCAATTTGAAAGTTTTACCTTAAAAATTTTAAGCCAAGTGTGTTAACTCACCAAAATAGAATTTTTCTGATCCACAATCCAAGCCGGCAAAGCTATACCAAAGCTAGTAGCTGTAGGACAAAATAAAGAAATTCACTGAACTAAAGAATTAAAGTGTTAAAGAACTAATTTAAAGTTACATCAAGTCCAGCAAAAAAAAAAATCATTTTTATCACTTAAGTAAAATGCTAAAAATTTAGCCAATCAAAACAAACAAAAAACAGACATGCAGTGAAATGATAGGTATAAATGTACTAAATGCACTATACACAACAAGTGGTATCCCAAAGATTTTAGTTTAACATCTCATACTGGTCTGTAAGATTTATTAATACATAAAAGAGGAGAAATTTGAGACATGGAAAAATTTATGAGTTTAGCCTACAGAGCTTTCAATAGTTTGCATATGCATAGATCAGTAAATATATGCATTGCATGGTAACTGTTTTAGCAAATGAGATCTTTTTTGAGCAAATGAGAACTTTTTAAAAAAGGTGCCGAGCTGTAAATTGTAAAACACCAATTCCTCTGTTGGCTTGAATTTTTAGGGAGTTAGTAAGAAAGAAAAAGGAACACATTTCCTTTGGAAAAGAATTAGGCTGCAGAAATACAGGGCAATTCCCTACCAGAAAAAACCACAGCACGCAGATGCGAACACAGGACAGTGTTAAAACAGGTTTTTTCTTTCAAGCCAGTAACTTGAATTTTGCAAATACCATCTGTACTAATCCTACAATTCCAGGCAGGAAAATAAATAAATAAAATAAACACAGGTTTAATGTGATTTTTATTTAGTCTTCCAGTTGGAAACTACTATATTTTGAAACTCACAGTAAAAATCTAACCAGCCCATAGTTCGAGCTTAGAAACTCAACAGCTTTCTGCCAAATGAATTTACGCTTTAAGACCTTTCCCTTCCTCTAATGGCCACATAATTTTAGAAGATACTAGAAGTGTGATTGTGCTTTTTAGTTGTGGTTCTCTATCAAGTTCAGTTTCCTACTGTATTTTTGATCTTCAGGATTTTACCTTCAAACTCAAAGAAGGTACATTTTTTTTCTTCAAACTGTTTTAAGTACAGAAGTAGTTCAGTACAAACGCTTTATCTTCTGATCTGAGAATCTACTTGTCCCTCTCTATTGATGGTCACTGAACTCAGGCACTAGCAGATACCAACTGGAAATAGTCTAGTAAAACTGCCTTAAATTCTTAAAAGCATATATGCTTACTCTCCAGGTCTGCCTCCTGCTTTTAAACATTCTCCAAATGATTTTACACTCATTGTTGTACTTCCTAAAGGAGTACGTTATGCTGAAAGAACCTTCTTGCTCGCTGCCTCTAAGCTGCAGGATGATTCAGTTGGATGGAATGCTGTGGAATACTCTTTTTTCTTGCACTGGGCACTGCAGGTAGGATACATCTCACCTAACTTTAGAATAGCTCATGTAGGATGCTCATGCCAAAATACATCTCTCAAAGTCTGCCTACCCAAAAATAAGTACTACAGTAACTAGCCTGAATACAAATTTTTACATGACAGGTGTCTAAATGAAGGTAGGATGAATTTCACCAAGAAAGCTCCTCACACTTTAGCGTAGGACAGTACTACAGAGTAGAGAACAGCAGAGGGAAAAATTCAGACTTCCTCCCACCCTTCAGATAGAGCAACTATGCAGTGATAACTTGCAGTGCACTGCACCTGGAGTTAAGGTTTCAGAATAGTAGAAGACTTGCACACTAACGGTATGAACTGCTGCCCTACAGAATAACTATTTCACTTTTCCCTTTAGGAACTCAAAGAGCCCCTGGAGTGTGTGAAAGCTGTGTCTGAATACATCATACAAGGATCTTCTTGCCATTAAATTCTCATACATGTGTCCAGCTAAGCCTTCTTTTGAAGTCACAGCTTCAGGCCAGTTCAACGACACTGACCTACTGCCTAACTCAAAGCCCCACGTCCTGCCAAAACAAAGTAACTTGTGGATGTAAGACACTGTTCAGCATTCAGGAAAGCAGCAGCTTTCCTAGGATATACACATACCACACTACCATCCATATAGCTGTTTTGCTGACACTGGGATTTTTTTTTTTTTTTTCCTTCCAGGAGCAGGACAGTCTTCCTACTTGTTTAACTAGGACAGCAAGAAAAGTTAGAAACTGAAAGGAATTTCTTATGCTATAAAATGAAATGTTCAAAGAAATGAAACCACCACTTTAGTCCAGTTTTTAGCACAGTTGCCTTTCCCACCCCCCACCCCCCCAAAAGACAGTGAAAATTGTTTCTCCGAAATGTTGGTCCAGTTTTTTTATGATTTTTTTTCCCAAATCCCCAGTTGGATGGATGTAAGAAAAAAAATTCCAGAACAGATTATGTCATGTGTCATCCTGTAACTTCACATTCGAGTTAATTCCATTTACTCTTTCTGAGCTGGCACTAATTCATTCCATGTAGATAGGCAATATTATTTTATAACTTAGTCTCTCAGACTGCATGGCAACAAAAATAGGAAACCTATGCAGACTGGTCTTACCAGATCCCAGGTGTCCTTTTGCTTGTAAAGAGTATCAGAAGCAGCTAGGAATACAAAACATTCTACCTCCAAACTAGCCTACTTAACCCACTGCCACAAAAACATTACACGAGTGACTGATGCAATTGCTAACATTAGAAAAGCACTATTAAATTTCTGTCCTAGGTTGTTTTATAGTGTGCACCATCTGCTCTACAGTAACAGGATAATTCACTTGCAGCTACTTGCCCAGGAAACAGTCTACCAGCATAGGGATAATCACCAGGATTCCTCAACATGAAGGCAGCACAGAGCTACACTCAATGCCTGCTGTTTCCTCCAAAGGAAACTTAGATGTGTATGCAGTATTTAGATTCAAATATAGCCTCACATACACCCCAAAGTGCATTTACTGCACATTACAGCTAGCAGTTTACTTTTTACCACACATTTGTGGTATCAGATTATAGATACAGAGAAATGCATAAACCTGACAAGTTCCTGCTTTCATTCTTTAAATACTGGTGATGCTCTCTAGAAACAAACTAAAACTGGCGGAAAAGAAACAGGAAAAGAAACACTTTTCCCTCTTTCTTTTTTCTCTCTAATAAAAAATTTGACAAACTTAAAAGCAAAATCTTTCTTGACTTTTCCTTTTCCCCTCCCAGAATCCTTTTTTTTCCAGTTTCACAAGCAGAAAATTGACCTATGTTCCTTTAAATCAGAGGAAAAAGTTGTTTCATATACACTTAAGAACCGATTGTTTCTCAGATGATCACATAGGACACAGTTTAAGGCACATATACTGAAGAATTTACCTTGTGGTCCATCTGGATTACCAAATTCTTCCCAGTTTTTTCGTGATTCTTCATCAGTTAATCTAATTTTAAGAAGAGATATTAATTCAGTATAAAAACAAAGAAATCTCTCTAGGTAATTAGTATATATAGATTTTTTTAAATGTTATATTTCTGTTTCACAGACCACTTGACAAACCATACCTATAAGTTATGTTATTGTTTGTATGAAATCTGTCTTAACAAAACAATACTGCTGTATTCCTTCAACATATACAGATAACAAAACAATTACATTCCATTTTACATGAACAGCTGTGTCTTGAAAATAAAACACTTTTCCATGACAAACTAGAATATTGCGAACCTCAAAAGACAATGCTTGAAAATGACTTTTTGCAGTGGAAGGTCAATATGCAGGACAAACTACTATGGCAGAAGCTGTTCATTCGGTCTTCTATTTCAGACTTGTAGCCTTTCTCTCCTGCCCTGAAACTACCTAGTTTTATATTTAAGAAGAGGGAAATAAACAAATGAAAAGATACTACCTCTTAAATCTTACAGTTTCTAAATCTGTTCTGTACTGACAGCTTCTTGGCACTGTACTTCACTGCTTACACCACCTCACACAGAATCCCTTTGTAGCATCAAGGAAGAATGATGCTTTTGAAAACAAAACACCCCATACTCATTACAGAGAAAATCTTGTGTCACAGAAGAGGCCCAGTGGTCATCTGAACTGTATCTTTACCAAGCAGACTTGTCATTTGGGTAGGTTTTATATTCTAAAAATTAATTTTAAAACTGCGCAGAGGAGTCTGGTGTTGGCTCTCCTTCTCACCCCACTCCAGGCAAGTAATTCAAACAGTCAGTAAGGTCAATCGCATAGACAACTGACTTTGAATCTTGGGTGTTTTTGTTTGTTGTTGTTGTTGTTGTTGTTGTTGAAGTGTACCAACAGTTTTTAAAAGGAACCAAAATAAAATGATTCCGAATATTGCACATCAACTCTCAGATCTGTGAAAAGCTGTAAGCAGAGATATAACTGAAACACTACTCCAAAGGCAAAACAGGATTCAGCCATAAAGAACTACACAGATAATCTGAAACTATCACCAAGTCAAAGAAAAGATCAAAGATCATGACAAATTTGAATGGGAAGAGACATGGAGGAGCTGAGAGCAAAAATGAAACATCTGTTACTAGATGAAAACAGAACTGAAATAATTTACCTGCCTCTTCAACTTTATCACCATATGCAATGGGTCGCACACTCATGCTCTAAGCAACGCTTTCAGAACTGCCGTAAGGGGGATGTTGCTCCAACACTGCAAACACCTGTTCTGCTCTCATCTTTAAGATACTAGGAAGTATCACTGGAAGCACTTTTCTCTGACTCATACAGAAGTTTAATAAAAGTAGTAACTTTTTAGAGCATTTTGAGAGTGGTAAAACAATTGAATTATCCTCCCCAACCTGTACACTCAACAAGTATCTACTGTATCGAGAGGAGTTCTAATGTTCATTATGGACCTGAAGTTTCCCTGACTGCTTAGGTCCCCCCTACCATTACCCTAAAGACTTCCCACCCCACAATAGCAAGTTCTTGTTTTTTTGCTGACAAAAAACTTACGCTGCATAAGCTTTAGCAATCCTCATAAACATAACTTCATCTCCTCCTTTATCTGGATGGTATTTTAGTGACAGTGCACGGTACTGTTTCTTAATTTCAGATATACTTGCTCCCTTAAAAACAAAACAAAAACTTTGTGTTATTAACAAATACCTTAAAGTGAATCTCTTCTACTATGCCCATATTCTACAGCACATCATGTAGTATTTCTCTGAACCATCACACTTGAACAGTTGTTGTAGTATGACATGATCATGAAACTGCACATGCATTTCATATTGAACAGCAGGATGCCCTGACACATAAGAATATCTCTGACTAGAGCTATCTCGCCCATAAATTATTTCAAGCTTACTGAATAAAAGGAACCCCTTATATCTAAGCTTGAGAAAAAGACAGATGTTACAGAAGGTCACTCAAAAAAACTCCCCAAACGCTACCACAAGCACAGGTAAAGTTTTCCTAGCAAGTTATTGGGTGAGTTTCACAGATCCATTACCAAAGGACTTTTCAACATTTTGGCAATACAGAAGTCTAGAAAGCTGGCCTTAAGTGCATAATAAACACACAAGAAGTTATTTATAAATTATGTTGCTATTCTAATAAATCTAGGCCAGGAATTAAATTACTCTTCAGTGTTACTTGCTGTGTTACCTTAATTTAAATCTCTTATTACCCATTGTATCTATTATTTTACAGCACTGTTTTTTAAACATGATTCAATGCTCGGGATGAATTTACACCACAAAAAAAACAAAAATCAAACTTTGATGCAATCATTTCAAGGCTGTCTGAGATATGTCCTATGGGAAAGGATAGAAAGTCTCTCTGCACTAACTGAGGGAAAAAAAAAATCACAACATCACAGTAAGACCCCAAAATAAAAATTTCCACCTCGCTATATTAACAAAGTCATTAGAATTTTGATTTTGACAGAGTTAGGTACATGCAAGAGCATCTAACTATGGCTTTTGCAATATGCAGCAGCAGCAACTTTCAGATGACAAAAAATAAGAAAACCACTTGGTATATTGATTGAATTTAGTTTACACTGATTATACGAGGGTTGTTTAAAGGGCAAGTCCTAAATTTGTCATATATACATAGAAAGATAGTCAAAGAATTACAGATTAGTAAAAGATGTTATTACTTACAGGATCCAAATGCAAAACCTCGTAAGGGTTGTATTCTTGATACTCTCGGTCTGTTTTGGAAACCTTGTATGCAAGAAACAAAAATAATGCCCATCCAGCAAGGAGGATTATTTTCCTGTTAAAAATAATAATAATAAATGCACAAACCACACACATATACTTCTGTATGTATCAGATTAAGCCATTTGTTAGCTACCTTAGAGGAAAAAAAAAAAAAGGTAATATTAAATCACATGAGTGTTTTACAGCCTCTAACACAGATGAGACAGCTGACATGATTCCTAATTAATTCTTTTAACCAGGCAAACCATTATCAGCAAGGACTCTTTACTTCCTTAACTATCTGTCCTTACTAGGTATGCAGTAGCATTTCTTATTTCTGAAGAATGATTTTAATTTAATCTACACAAAGGCGTCATTACAAAACAAAAACAAAACAAAAAAGAGCGATAAGAACAATAAGTAACAGAGAAACATACTTTGGTGGCAGGAGTTGATTACTAATAGAGATTTAAATATATACGTTTTCATATTTAAATCCAAGGGTATCACTAACACCACTAATTTCAGTTAAAGAGTGAGCAGTTTTTTTTTGAAATAAATTATCTGTTTACATAATTATTAGTGCTGAAGTTCACTGACTTCATTTAGCAGGTATTTCATAAGTTGAAAATATGCACTCATTGGTATTTCAAGCCCTGTTACAGATTGTAAATGTTTCCTCAAAGATATGAAAACCAGTATTGTATGCTGCTTTGACTGCAAAAAAATATATTTTTATAAAGATAAAAGTGTAATAACTGCTCACATGAGAAAAGACATGGAAATGAAACATACTTACTTTACTGTGGGAATTATGTTTTGCTGTGGTTTCAACAGTCGCAAGCGATACCACAGGCATCTTCCATATACGTTTCTTATATTCTTTAATCGAATTTGCTCTGTAAAAATGACAAAAAGAGATTGTTTGACTAATCTGACCAAAACAAACAAAAAAACAGAATGACAAACGTGCTCACTTCACCCCAGCATAGGTAGTGTACAAGGTCAGTTTGAGGGCCAATACAAGTTGCAGAATTACAGGAGTAAAGAATGTTTTTCAGCTGTTTGAGCGATGCCGTGTGTTCTACAACCATAAGAAGTTTGTCCACATTATTCTGCACTATCTAGAAGGAATCAATTATCTTTGCTACATCATTTGTGAATCCAGTCTTTGTTTGTCTAATACGCAACCGTAAAATTTACTTTCGACATTTTATAGCCAAGACCAACGTAATCTTGCTCAGAGAAATCTTTCACACCAAAAAAAACATGGTGGAAAGAGAGCAATAACTGTTAGGAGTTTCAGTGCTAATGTCATAAAGTTGCTTCTAAGTAACACATCCATTTGGATAAGTAAATCCCTGCAGTGGCCTGCTACACTTCTGAAGCGAGGAGGTCACTAACTACCTTATGTGAACAAAAATAGAGCCACTCGGTCATTTTCGGACTTAAGGAGAATGAAGAGAAAAATCCTTAACCTATCTCAATACGTTTAGTGTTGTCAGTGAACATAAACAGCCTAAATATGCCATTTTAATATAAATATTTTGAATGATCTGAGTGAACAATTTTGATCTAAAACAACCTGCTAGAAAAAAAAGCTTATTTCTGAACTCTTCACTTTTAACAAAGTGATGACCTGGACTTAACTAAAGCAGCAATGGCGATGCATAGAAATACTGTTCTTTGCCAAGTTTTTGAAAGGTTATTGTGAAAAATGAGTTATTCTAAAGATTTCTGTAAGGACAAGATACACAATAATTTAACTGAAGTTGCAAACGTGCAATTGCCATAAATATCTAGCAGCTTCAGCCCTTAGACACTGAACTACCTGAGGCCAGAAAACCATGAGCATGAACGGCAATATTTAGCATCAGATGAACCAGGAATTTAGGCTTCGTCTGGATCAGATGTGGGCATAGGACTGCATTGTCAATCCATGCTGATTTGACAGAAGGAACACAGGGGAACACAGATGATACCTGAGCAGCCACAGACTAGTAAAGCAGACAAAAAATAAAGTTTGCAAGGACCAATAATGCTGAATAGAACAAATTCAACAGCTTACTCTGAACTATTTAATTCTAAGGAGTGCATCTTCCTGAAACCTCAAATGATGTGAAGCTGCATAATGCAATTCTTCTGAATCTTTAACAGTGTGAAGCTGGGGTATCAAATTGATTTTCTGAAGACTATTTTATTATGCCTATCACCCTCAAAGAGGCAGAGACGCAGGTAGAGGGAATAATTCAGTTCCTTGCAAGCAATTCAATTCATACGGGGCTTCAAAATAAGACTCCAATCTTGTCTCAAATTTTTGTGTAACAAGTAGGGTTCTCTTGCTCTGCAGGAATTATTTACATACTTAAAAATAGGTATTATATGTGAAACTCCATAATCAAAAATTATATGAATAGTATTTGTTTAAGTAAGTGCACACTTAATATCATCTCGTTGTTGTGCAAGAATTTTGAATGCAGTGAGAAGAAAAACTACATAGGCAATGAAAACAGGGTTAAAAAGAAACAGTGACTCCCTAATAGATTGCACCAAACTAATTTGGCACGTTTTTCCTCTTCAAATGAAAATTATTGGAGATCAATACTGTTTCAGTAATGGATCCAACACAAGGAGGAATGAGCTAATTTTCACTTAAAATTAAACTAAAAGTTTTTGATGCAAAGCTAAGAAGCATTACCAGCACACAGAACTGTCATACCATAAAAGCTGATGGTCTTATAATCTGGACAGCAAATTATGTTAAATAACGCAAGACCATGCACTGGGAACTAAAGAATTTTGCTACAGGAACAAGGAGGAAAATGTTCAGGGGATTCCAAGCAGCCGCTAGACAACTAGGAGTCAGAATGTCAAGTTTTTATGAAAGTCACCTGTGATCCTCAAATAAATCAGACAGGATAAACCTAAAAGGATACAGATGTTCTGGATGTGAAGCACACATGTCTCATTTCGAATATTGTCTATCAGTGCGCTGTGCTACAGTACAGCAAGAGGAAGTCAATTGTTCAGGTCAACCACATTGAATCAGCTACGTGAGCTGACATTACATGAGCACAAATGTGGGGCTATTTTGAAACTATTTAAAGTATGTTGCTTGGAGAAACACCTGAAATTATTGCGGAAACGGATTGGCAATGTGCCTGGGGAAATGGAAGGTGACTAAGAATTTGGAAGGAGCTCAGAGGACTTGGTTTACTTAATCCTATAAAACTCAACCGAACAGGATATGACTCCCTTCAGTGTTTTTGCCAGCCTGCTTTTAACAAGATGCTTCATCCTGTCTTTAGAAGTGCGTGCCATGCTGTGCGCTGTGACACAGTGCCCTACTTCTGAAATCCGCCTGCTGCCCAGCCCTGACAAGGACCACATAATCCTCTCTTAGAGGTCTACATCCTCGCTGCAAGATCGGCCAATACCTTCACCTTGTTTTGCCAAAAAGCTTCCAAAAGGCCTTCAAGGGGAGACACCAAGGAGGAAGAAAGATTCTGCAAGCTAAAAAAAGAGTTGGTAGGTTAAATACAACTGACCATGCTGGCGGGGGTGGGGGGGGCAGGGCTAGAAACTAAAGGTGTTTTATTATAAGCAGAAAAGTGAGGTTTTGGAACAGCCTTCAGGTAACAGCTTGCAGAAGGAGCATTTTGGGAACAGTCAGGAAAGTAGCACAGGAGAAAAAAAAAAAAAAAAAAAAAGAGGTAAGTGGCATGAGCAGAAATTAAGCCTTCTGGATAAGTAAATATGACACACACAAGTTAGCTAAAGAGTTCCTGGCAGTGATACCTTGGGACAGCAGTGCTATGGAGCAGACACTTCCAGATTAATAGAGAATTAATGTTATCTTGTATATTTTATAATGTTAAGAAGCCACAGCGTTTTAAACATGCATACGAACAACCCCAAATCAAATCTAATTACAATTGACTAAACCATATCAAAGGAAAAAAAAAAAGGCACTTCAAAAAAACACTTCAGTCTTGGGATTGCAATGGTCTTATTTAATTATCAAGCCCAAAAAGCAAGAGAGCATTAAGAAGATAAATGACAGTATATGGTTATCTGTCTGGAACATGGAGAGAGAAAGTCAGATCCTTCCTAAATTGAAGCTAAAGTCTAGACTTACTCAAATTATTGGAAGCTGTCCCGAGGCACTTCCTCTGTCATAATTCATCATTAATGCATGTATCTCATAACTTGTGGAATTCAAGAACAGGCAGCTACTTGGGAGAAGAGAGAGGGTGTACGAACAGCAGCAGTCCTAACTGAGACAGAAAGCTGCTGGTGAAACATCACCTGAATAAAGAAACAAAGTGCTACATTTCTGCTGCCTTCAGGAAAAAGAGACTTCCTGTTTATTTACAGACAAGATATGCAATTGTACCAAAGAAAATACTTATCACGTTAGGATAAGACTGGTTGCACAAGAAAAAAAAAATCTGGCAAGCATCTGAATACTGGATAATTACTGTGGCAGCAAATGTGTTCCTAATGAACAAGTTGTGAATAAATCAGGACTTTCTTCCTTTGCCTTCCCCTCCTGAGGGCCCTTCTACACAAATGGTTTTGCCAGGCTACAGAATTGGCACTCTGCCCTTGCAATATCCTGCAGACTCTGAGAAAGCAGGAAAAAATACATTTATCTGCAAAGGCTTACCCTGAACAGCCATGTAAAAGGGATGGTATCTTATTTGGATTTCAGCACTTGTATCCTTGCTCTGCCAGGAAAAGAGGTTCAGAGTCAAAAAGCAGATAAAAGTTTTCTGTTTCTTCTCACAGAAGAGCATGGCTCTGCTTTACAGCGTTAAGAGCCCTTCATACGCTGTCCTTTGATAGGAGCTTAGAGGGAAGACGCAGAGTTCCTGTGGTCAAAATGACTTCTTGCTTGATGGATAAAACCTTTCACAATATTGCAACTCTCCTACCATTCTTCAAACAGGTATTAGACAGCGTTGAAAAGCAAAGATGCAAGCCCATCCTTGGGCTTCTGAATTGACCTCAGAGAGGTTTTGAGACCTCAGCCTCTCCGAGCAACCTGATCCAGTATCTGACCATGTAACCATGACACAATGGCTCAGGAACTCAGATTACACACAATTTGTGGCTTACAACTCAGCCATCTCCTACATAGATTTGTTTTGGATGTTGCTACACACACCACTTCTTGCACACCTTTTCCTCCACTCTCATACAAGAAATTCTCAAAAGAGAAAAACATAAAGCCCTCACAGAACGCAGCAACTGCACGCTATTTTACCGCAATTCACATGTCAAAAACACTAGCAATCAGTAACAAAGCAGACATACCTCTGTCAACCTGATTAAGGCAAGCAGCATGGATACTGCTAGGCAGCTCAGGAGCGCAAGCACTTTTTTTGATAGAAAAATCTGTGGCATGCATGCCAGCATCACTTCACGAAACACAGTAAAAACAGGGCCATGAAAAGAATGCCCTTATGTGGGCAGGACCAGGTAACTGTTTTGTCTGTTTTGAAGGTACAGGAGGCTCTATTTTATTAAAAACTATAGCGCCCAGACTAAGACGCCAAAAGTGTTTTCCAATTTTTATGTCTATTGCTGTAAAAACTGTCACCGTCACCAAAATTTATTTACAAACATGTCATGTCCAAGTTTGCCTATTCACTGAAATATGCATAGCTGAATACCTGACCAGAGCTGTCTCCAAACAAATTTCCTCTATCCAGTAAATATTCATGGCAATATTCGATTCAAAAGCTTTGTGTAACACATTGCTCTTCAGGATTTCAAGGAGTTCACAAACTCCAGATGTCCTAGACTGTTACCTAACTAGATTATTTTTTGCACTACATTGCTTTCAAGTTCATAGTGGGACCTTACAAACAGTTTTACTACCAAAGCCAAATGGAATCTAGGAATAGTTTAAAAAAACTTATCATTTTAATAAGGAGGGATGTCTGCCTAAGTCAAGGCTATCGATTTAAGATAAAACCCAGAACAGTGCTGGGCTCCAAGACTTACATATACTTAATTATTAGCTTTATTTTACTGATGGGGGAGCATGGGCAAGGAAGGCACAAAACATTCAAGCCAAAACAGATTTACCACTGGTCTGTATTAAATATTGTTTTGATACACACCTTGAAAAAACTACAATGTGGAACAGAAGTAGAGGACACAAGGATAAGTACCATAAATCTTGATGGAATCAGTGAGGTTTTGGTAAACAGAACTTGGACTTTATAAACTGAGACTTCTCAAGAGGGTAAGCCCATGGAAAAGGACATTTCAGTGATACTGATTTGGGTTTCCAAAATGCTTTTGAAAGGTTCCTTTTCAAAATTTTTGGGGAAACAAAATATCTATGGAACAAGATGGAGGATTTTCACAAACATTTATGCCAGAAGAAAGTTTGTAGCAGAAGGAAACCACCCGTGGAGTTCTGTAGGAATCTGCATTAGAACTACATTACTCAGCTTTACGACTAAACAGCTTTGAAAAAGAGATAAGCAGTGAAATTAAACTCGTGTGGCATCCTGAAGATGGTAAGATGAAGTGCATAAGAATCATACACACTCAAGATCAAGCAACTGGAATGGCATATTATATAAAGTGTATGAAAACACATGTAAAAGCAAATAGCATCAGAGACAACCCTGATTTCTCATATAAAAAGAGAGGCTTTGAGTTGGCCACTATCCCTCAGGAATAAGACCTTGGAGCTAAAGAGAACCAGCCCCGACTGAACGCTCTGTAGAAATAAAAGCAAAACAAGTGCTAAGAACTGCAAGGAAAGAAAGGAAATCACTATATCACCACAAAGGCCTAAGACTTGTACAACTTGAACAGGATATACAGCCCTTACCCCTCCAGAGAGAGGTGACCAAAATTGGAAAACACTCAAGGTCAGCAAGGGCCATCAAGAATATAAGGTGGTTTATGTTGCAAAGATAACCTGCAACTCTTCAACCTGGAGGAGAAAGGATTTCGGGGAGAGATGATGTAAAGCTATTAAAAATGTAAGCGACAGGAGGGGTAGGATTGAGTACGTACTGCCTCTTTCCATACCAGGAAGAACCACCATCAAATAAAATCAGAAGCAGACGCAAGACAAAAGTGGTTTCTCGCACAGCATGCATTTGAGCTGGTGAACTCCTTTCCACAGGATAGCGTAGATGGAATGTTAGAACAAAGTCCCTGAACTGAGACTCTGGACTCTGAGACAATGGGCCGGGGGGAAGGGAGGAAACACTGCCTAAAACAGCATTCCTTCAGACAATGGGCTTTATTTAAAAGATATAGATGCACATATATATATATGTCAATGTTGTAATAACTTTGAATGTCTCTTTTTGAACGGTATTAAGAGATAATAATACAGCTCAGAGGGGAACACAACTAGAGGTTCTCACCTCTTTCTCAGCAATATTATGAAGTCTTGACAGAGGCAATACAACGAAGACTACATTGCACATCTTTAGAACTGTTTTTCCATCATTACGGTGATCTGCACAAGAGCTGAAGGGAAAAATATACTCATGCCCAATTATGGATTCCAATTGCTTTTATGAATACTATCTATCCCATAAAAATGAAGAAGCTCTTTATTTTGTTACCAGAAATGATAATGAAAAATTGTTTGGAAAGGTAAGGAGCTGAATATGAAGTGAGGTCCTGAATATACCAGAAGAGATTCTACAGAATATAGAATTCTGTAGAATTTAATGGAATAACTTCTATTTAAAAGAATACAAAAGAGCAAAATACATAGTACAACTGTTTTAACAAGTTACATACCAATGTTTAAATTAAATATATATATATTTTTTCATGTATTTGCAATGAGATGAAACTCCTGTTATAGCTTGATTTTCTTTATCTTGCTACAAAAGCTCTTCAGAATTAAACATTCTGGACAGCCTTTATGATACTCAAATAATATCTAATACAGCATTATTAACTTACATAATAGCTAGAAAGCTATCATGCAACCAATAACATAACAATACTTCAAAAAACTCCACAAAAACATGTCTTTTATCCAAATAAAAGCTGTTTAGATAGCTTTGTTTTAAAAATGCATTTTAAAGCATTTAAATGCATTTTTCTTTCAACTTTGAGGGGAGAAAAAAAAATCAATGTATGTAATAATCCTTTCTAAATGTAAGCTAAGTTTCAGTGACACTGCACAGCCTCAGTTCCCTGGC